GTGATCATTATTTCATCGTCCTTCGAGGAGCATAAGCGACACCTGGAGTTGGTTTTACAACGAATTCTGGGGACGGGCTTCACTGTAAACCAGACCAAAAGCCATTTCTGTAAGTCGGAAGTCAAGTACCTAGGAGTCCTCGTGAACCGTGAGGGAGTAAGGCCGGATCCGGAGAAGATCAAGCCGTTCATGGAATATCGAACACCACGGACTATCAAGCAGGTGAAGCGATATATGGGGATGATGTCGTGGTATCGTCGCTTTATACCCGACTTCGCGACAATCACTGAGCCGATAAACCGCCTGACGAAGAAGAGCGTTCCGTGCGCTTGGCAGCAGGAACAAGAGCATGCTTTCGAAAGGTTACGAGACGCAATGGTCTCCGCACCAATCCTGCAGTCGCCGGATCCCAGCGGATAGTTTGTTTTACAAACGGATGCGAGTGATAGCGGTATCGGTGCCGTACTGATGCAATAAATCGATGGACAGGAACGCGTCATTGAGTACGCTAGTTGCTCCTTAAATAGGGTAGAAAGGAATTACACAGTCTCCGAACGAGAGTGCCTGGCCGTGGTATGGGCTATCGAGAAGTTCCGACCTTATGTCGAGGGGCACCACTTCAAAGTCATTACCGACCATAGTTGCCTTGGGTGGCTCCACAGTATGAGGAATCCTACAGGCAGGCTAGCGTGTTGGGCGCTAGCACTGCAGGGACATGTTTTTGATATAGAGTATCGAAAGGGAGACCTCAACGTGGTGCCAGACGCTTTATCTAGGGCCTACGAGGAGGGGGTGGTAGAAGTGGGTGCCATGACTCATCAACCGGAAACTGCCGATGCCTGGTATCTGTAGAAGTACCGAGAAGTATGCCAGGACCTGCATTCTCAGCCTACCTGGAGGGAGGCTGTACCATTACAATCCAACGGAAGATAGCGAAGGATCCATCGACAACGAGGAAGCCTGGAAGCTTGCGGTTCCTGCTGAGAAAAGGCACCAAGTGCTTGAAGAGGTACACGATGCGCCAGCAGCGGGACATCAGGGGAGAGAATGGACGTTCTCCAGTGCTAGGCGCCTGTATTTCTGGCCTAAGATGTACGAGCAGGTCCGAGAGTACGTGAGAAGTTGCCCGGTTTGTCAACAATGCAAGGCGGAACAAAGGCCGCCTTGCGGGGTAATGGGTCGTCGAGAGGTCTCGCGACCCTGGCAGGTGGTGGCCAGCGATATTACGGGCCCATTCCCAAAGAGCTCGAGAGGGTTTGAGTACATCTTGGACTTCTTAGACCTGTTCACTCGGTGGGTTGAGTACGTACCCATACGCAAGGCCAATGGAAGGACCATTGTGCGGGAATTGCACGAGAGGGTGGTAACCAGGTTCGGTGCGCCCGAGATATTCCTTTCGGATAATGCAACCGAATATAAGAATCAGGATGTCGATGCCTACTTGCTGAGAAACGACATCCGGCGCGCCCTCACTCCAGTCTACCACCCACAGGCCAACCCTACGGAGCGAGTGAACAAAACCCTTAAGACCATGCTCATGTCATACGTGGAGCGCGACCATAAGATTTGGGACGAGCACCTTCCAGAGTTCAACTTCGCGCGCCAGGCTATAGCCCGACTATGCTCGTTTTCGGACGATAACCCACTCCTCCCTCGACCTTTAGAAGGGCCCAGGATCAGTTAACCCGAGAAGCTTCTGAGGGCCAAGAACTGACAGAATGGGGTGAGCAAATGCGCCTGTTGACCAACTTATGGGAACGCGCTGGCTCCAAGTCCAGGGAGGAGGCGGATTATCAGGCGGTCTATTACAACAAGAGGAGACGTCAGGCCGACTTTAGGGTTGGGGACTGGGTGTGGAAACGGAACCGTATCCTGTCTTCCGCAACTCAGGGCGTGTCGGCGAAGTTGGCGCCGAAGTATGTTGGTCCGTATATCATCGAGGAAGTATGTGGGACCAATACCTACTTCCTCGGTAACCAGCAGGAGGTATTGCCCGAGCTGATCCACGCCAAGGAGCTCAAGCCCTATTTCGCCCGATTCTCGGACCAAGACGACGAGGAGCCGGAACGAGGGGACTCAACGCCGCTGGACGAAGAGGAGGGCGCAGGCGAAGAGGGAGGGAGGCTTTCGAGGTGGCCACCCGAATGCTCCTCGACCTGAAGCTGGGTTCGGACGCCGATCGGCTGATTTCGAAGTTAGGAGTTTTGTCCGGGCCCAGGTCGAGGTGGCCACCCGAGAGAATCGCCCACGCCAGCGGGTGGACGACTTCCTCCGAGAGGGGTTAAGGCCGCCGCCAAGGAAGGCGCCAACCCGGGAGGCGTCCACCTAGACCGACGATCCGTTTGAAGAGGGCCGTCGATCTTCTCCACCGAAGACCAGGGGGTGCAGACCCCGGGGTTGAGCAAACCCGAGGTGGCGGACAGCTCGACCCAGTGCTCCAGGCCAAGGGAGGCCTGTGGCCCAGAACAGTGAATCTGCAACCACCCCCGCATTCCCGAGCAACAGGGGCTCGAGAACTCCTGGAGGCATGTGAGGTTGGGCCTCCAGGAGCTGGTAAACGCCTGGGAGTTCGTCGGGGAACTCCAATACCAGGTGCATACACACCTGGACCAGTTCCTCGACTTCCAGGGAGCCCGGGAGTTGCTCGGGGAGTGGGCTCCGGTGGTCCGGCGGCAAAGGGCCTATGGAGAGGCTCTGCTGCGGGTGGACCGGGGGCAGGAGTCCCCATAGGTCGCGGACCCGCCGGCGGCTGTACAGCCGACGGTGTCTGGAGGCAAGGCCGCGACCAAGACTCCTGCCAAGCCCTCGGTGCAGGCTCAACAGAAGAGAGCCTCGGGGGCCCCCGGCGCCGGACAGGAGTTCACGGTCCACGTAGACGGGTCGAAGGTTTCCGACCCTACCGTGGTGGTGCGGACACACGGCGGACGCACCTCCGCCACGATGGGCGGTGTGACATTTACCGCCGCCCCGGGAACCTCGACCCCACAGCCACCTCCGTCTGCGGGGAGTCACGGGCAAGGGTCAAGGCCCGGTTCCTCCAGGTCACAGCGAAGGGGCTGTTACATCTGCGGCCATCCCGGCATCACCACCACCTCCAAGTGCCCAAATAAGCACATTGGCGCTATCTCCGCCACAAGGGACCAGGGGGCACCGAACGATGACTCCGGGTGTATGGTGATTTCTCCCCGTCCTTCTCCTGTCCTTTGGAGCGTGAGTCGGTGTAATAGTTCGGCCCGGTAGTCCGAATCTAGGAGGAGGCTGCAACGATTGCCGAAAATCGTTAGGACTCGCGTAGACTGTCGAGCGTGGCTAAGTGTTATAGCCGTGATCGGCTTAGGTTAGAGAGAGAGAGAGAGAGAGAGGGCGCGTTAGGGGCAATGACCGGGAGGGGAGAGGTAGCGAGCCAGTATGACTGTGTTCTTCAGTCCGGCGACATCGCAGTTTTTGCTATCCGAAACAACAACGAGTGAAACCGTGCCAATTAGGATACAGCAGGACTAGATAGATAATTTGTGAGTGGAGTGACGAGTGCGCACACTGCATAACGTGTGCGGCGTCGGCAGCAGAGACCACAACCTCAGTTGCACCCACGGCGCAACGCAACAACAGCAGCGAAGGGCGGTTGCAAAGGCAGTTCGTCGTCTTAGCGTAACTGGATACGGTTGTCCACCGTATCGTTATCGAATCAGCAGTAAGTGCGCTGCACTTTGTATTACGTTTTGCGTGCGATCCCGCGCAGCGTGCGCGGTGAGTTTTTAGGTAGCGTGCGTGCGACTAGTTCGCAACGTCCGCGAAATCTACTCTCTCTCTCCTCATTCGAATTATTGTGTCGATATAGCGTGTGTTTAGACTCTCGGCAAACCGTCCCTTGTACAGGACTAGTTTCGTCTAATAAAGTAGTTAGATACCAATAAGAGACGATCTTATTATTTCGTCTCCCCTTTGTCCGGTGTCGGTGTTTATATTTTGATTCGAACGCGCCGGTAATCCAACACGGATCGCGAAAGCATAGAAGGAGCTGTGCGTCAACCGAGGTGTCTGCAGTGGCCGTCGGAGCGCTGGTAAGCTAGCGCACCAGCGCCCCCTTGCGGAGAGTTCGCACACCCAAGTTGGATCGCTGAGAGGACACGGCGTATGCGTATACCGGAGCGAGGTGAGTAAGTATGCTTGAAGCATACAGCTAACAAGGCGTCGTTTGGCCGTAGGGATAATCACATTTGCCAGGGGTTTGCGACTAAACGATAGCCTGTTACACCACATAGTTAAAGTTAAAATAAATTATGCGATAAAAATGTTCAATCCTCAAAAATTTATTCCAAGATGTGCAGCTTAGATTAGCATGCAATTTCAACTGGACATAATACTGCAAAAGTGATGGTTATCAGAAGTTGAGAATAGTTATCTATCAAAAATACAATGTAAATTGCTAACTTAGCCCAATAGTCTTACTATTTTTGTAATTCTTTGTTTTTATTATATACATATATTTATTGTATAATGTATTATTAAATTTTCTTGAGTGGATTGTTTAATACTCTTATTCATAAATAATAATAAATAAAATATGGACAATCTACGGATTCTCTACTGTGGTATCCTAAAGTGATGGCTATAAAGATATAATCGAGCGAGCATTAATGAGCGAGGTTCATTACCGCAAGCATTTATTGAAATTTAAATCTTATAAAAAATATGACAAGTAGTTTAAATTGGAAAAAATTATTAAATGATGTCTTTAATTTCACATCATATTACGGTTATGTGTCAAGAAAATTAAAAAAAAAAATATTTTTTTTCTTCAAACCTATGTAATAAAACCAAAATGTATTATAAACTAAAAATGAGATAAAATCGTTTCAGATAAAAAGAGATTTTCTTTTTTGAAAGCATCGTGTATTATAAAAATTTATATTATGAATGATTACTATAAAATAAGTTTTACATTCTAGAAGAAAAATAACAATCAATAAGTGTTATTAAGTAGATAAATGAACACTTACCTAAAGGCGACGCTTTGAAGATCGGTAATGATATTTTAAAATATTTACAACTTCCACATTCTATTATTATTTTATTTAAAATAGTATTTTTTAAGATAACATTACTTCCATCGTAGAAGGAATAATCTATGACGTTATGACTACAAGTTCCTTGAACAGGACTCAATAAATGAACTCCTTCGTCAAATCTTAGTTCAGGAGTTGATGACTTCGTTGGTGAAATAAGCGAACTTCTTCTTGGATACGGTGATTGTAATATTTGACTGTACAGATTTGAACTGAGAGAAGTATTTCCTATAATATTGTGAGTATTACTAGGAATATGCAATTTACCAACTAATGACATACCAGAAAATAGTGATATATTATTATTGGTTTCTATGACTACGATCATCTTCAGTTCCTAAAATACGATATACAGAGGGGTTAAGCAGAGAAATATTACTTTATTTATAAATCTTTTGGAACATAAATATATTCCTCTATATAAAAAATCAACAGACCAAATCAAAATTTTATAAATAAACGTAGATATATTGATAATATTATGGTAAAAGTAATATTATGAATAACCTGAATAAAATAACGAAATCTATAATAATGAAATAATAAAAGAAAACCTAAATTTCTATATACATTTTCTTTCATCGTATGTTATTTCACATGTAACGGAGAATTCCGGCCGTACCTGTCTGGCTTGCTCGCGACCGTCCGCACAAATTATTTATTCGGGGATTCGGGAAGCAAAAGACGTTCCCACGACTGAATAACGCGTCGAGCATAAACACGTTAAACGCACAGATTCGAAGTCAGCATGAGGAGTGATACAGCGGCGAATAAACACAACAGCGGATTAATACACTAGTCTTTAATTGTCAACAAACGATTACAATACGGCAACCTCGGACTTACACACTACGAGCGGTACAATAACAAACGCGAACGCGAAGGTGAATCGGTGGCTGGTCAGCCTGCCGATTCCCTTATCAAAACTAGATATTATACAAATGCCCGACAAACACTTTTCGCGCATAGGCTATTAACGGGTAGCCAGCAGGTCTGCTGTGCTACCAATCATAGACTGACGCCCAAACATGCAAAAGAGAGAGAGACAAGAGAAAAGTACGGCACCGACCTCGACCTTCAGCCTCTCCGACGGCTGGAGCGCTCTGCACCGTGACGTCACTGGTGTGCTCCCGACCGTATTGCTGGTATATTTGTTGTCGCCGCTATCTATCCTCTGGCTCGTCCTCTCGCTCGCTCCACAATATTGCTGCCTCGATCTCAACCCGTTGCTTGTTGTTTCTGCCGCCTCCTCGTTGCTCGGCGCCGCAGCACGTTAAGTTCCTCGCGCGCTCGCCCGCGCACCTCGCCGGTTACCCGCACGCACCGGTGCCGGGTATCTTGTGGGACACGGCTGGGCGCGACCCAGCCTCACGCTCTATCACTCGTCCGCGCACCGGGCGTGTCTCCGGAATAAACAAACGTCGGCGAGGTCGCGAGGCCAACTCGGAAAAAACCGTGACCTTCCGGTTTATCCGCGCGCGCGACTTTCCCTGCCCATTGCCTAGCAGAGACTCTCGAAATTTTCCGCGGCGATCCGCAATTCGAGCGCTCTCTCTCTCTCTCTTTTTCTCTCTTCTTCTGCGCCATCTGCGTCGCTCCAGCAGTCAGCTCAGCCCGTGTTCAGCACCTCGCAAACAAAAGGTCCAAGCATGAGTGTGTGTGCCAAACGTACACACTCTCAGCCTGGTGCGGCGCACGGACATTTGCGAGAGCTAAACGGACGAGATCGGCCTAGCCGAGATTCTCCGTCACACACATTATATTTTTCTCTTATTAAACTTAGTGCAAAATTTTAACAAACATCAATTACGATATTATAAAACAATAGATAAAAACTAAATATATTTTTGTAAATAGCCTTCAGTTAAACAATATGACGATTCTTTGCGAAATTTGAACAATGTTTAATTCATTACTGAATTAACCTGAAATTTCATGGTATATTTTAAATGAAAATTTTAAGACTGCAGAATCTGTTAGAAAAGATCTTCATTAATAACTTAAAATTTATTCATTAAATTAGTTTGATATCTATGCAAATGTACTCACTCTCATAATCGAAAATGCAACTGAGTGAGCAATAGAGAGCGTGGTATATTGCCACTAGTATAAAAATATTATACATGTTTATATATGGGCCCTTTTAAAAAGTTGAATAATGATCGAATAGCGACAATTGGAATTAATATAGTAGAAGATGTTGCATGTAAAGTTTCTGAAAGCTTTGAAGAAGCTTATGGTGTTCAAATACCTCGGTTTGAAAATTTGCAACAAATGCAAAATGAAAGTTCTTGGTTCAATGACATGATTAATGGTATTAAATTGAAATATAATGAAAGCAAAAATGTTGGAGAAAAAATAAGTTTATTAACTTTGCTGCCAGATAATTGGAGCTTCACAACAGTATCCAAATATTTCAATTGCACATACTACATATACGCTCAAGCTAAGAAAGTAAAGAATTCATTTGGTACGTACAGATGCTATTACAACATTTTGGTATGAATAATTATTAATTAATGAATAATTAAACATAGTAATAATTATTAATTAAACATATGTTTTAAGTTTATAGAATGTTGATTGAATGAGAACTAGGTTTTAAATTTAAAATCTGTAAATGATCATGAAAGTGTATGTCTTTACGTTACAAATAGAAGTACTAGTTTTTGTATGAAACCTATATCAAAGTAAAAACCTGATAATAAAAAAAATTGTATAATTTTAATCTACATGATTTAATTTATTGCTTTTTTAGAGTTATTGGAAAATTAATTCAACTCAATATATTTCATTATTTCCAACAATCATCTTTCTATTTAAATACAGATTTACAAAAATTTTGAAAATATAAAAAGATCCTCCAAACATATTGATGTTTTTTTATTTGGAGAGATCAGAGTTATTTTATTATGGCATAATGTTATACTTTCTTGAATATATTTTAAAAATTGTGAAATTTTATTCTTATTTTGATTTGAAAAAAAATAAAAAGTTACTATAATTTTTGTTAACAATTGAACATGTATTATCTTATTAATTTAGTAAGTGATTTTTTATTTGAACTCAATTTGCCGCGTTTTTTAGAGTGATTTACTATATGACATCACATCATGTGATTTCTCATGTGAGAAATCACCTGATTTCTCGTGGAATAAATCATAACAACAAACTACAATAAACAACTGTATCAGTAGAAATATTTCTAGCTGAATATTTTTTGTTTCTTTATTGTTCATTTTCTAACTAACCAAACACGGTTAATCAGCGCTAATTTGACGTTTACCGTCACAGCCCCCTTCCAGTCTGGACCTATAGGGTCCTCGACGATAATTCCATTAGCGCTGTCCCTTCCGAGGAGGAAAAGAGAGAGGATCATAAAGGATTATAGTCCACGTGTTGTTTACTTCCATCTTTATTCGCCGGGTAGTATAACGGTTGCCCTGCCCACGAGGGCAGGGGAAGATCACCTGGCTGGTCTCCCGGGTAATTCTGCGCCCTGGTCATCCAATGGATGATGTCGGGGCCTTCAGCGGGATAGATCCCGCTGGGGGTCCGGGTAGCGGCGTGGTATCGCCGTGCGCGATACCGGGAGTCGTCGACGGTATCGCGGTAGGGTCCGCCGTCGGGAGTTCTTCGATGAGCACGGATGACGAGCTCTCGTGAGCTCGCACCCGTGCTTGCTCCTCCTCTTCTCTTCGGGTACTTTCGAGGTGCAAGGCGGCATGTACCACCCCTTCAACGGCGGGACCCAAGTCCAGGTCGATGAGGGCGGCTGCCGCTTGCTCGAATTGTTCGAGCGTGATTTGCATCCTGTAATTATCCAGCAAGTTAGTATCTTGAATAGTTTTGGATATCGAAGGTGGGCGCCTGTTCGGCTGCCCAGGACCTTCGTCGCCGGAGTCGAAAGTGGGGTCCTTGGCGTCGGTCTCCCAGGTCCTTCGTTCGCTGTATTTCATGCGTTCACGGTTGGTGTTCTCGGTGGCCTGCCCCTCTTCCTTTTCCCGACGATAGGAGGAGGTGCTCGAGTAGTCTGTTGATGTTGTGTACTGTATGTAGTTAGCGCACACTCACGAGGTTTCCCTCGTGGGCGCTTCATCGTGTTAGTAGGAGAAGTATTTATTGGGACTCGGCTGGTGGGATTACGACGAGTACGGCGAGGTAAGCTCGGAGTTGTCGCGTCGTCATTTTGGAGTCTGTTACCCGCAGTGTCGGCGCTCCCGTTCCCGTGTATCGTTGTATCGCTCGCATTAGGCGGGACGCTCGTCGCCTTGGTTCCCTCGGTGGTAGGGGTCTCGTCGTCATCTCGTGGTCGGGTCCTATCTTCCGGTAAATCATGATCTCGTCCGGTTCTGTTGTGGGTAATTGACAAACCAAGGTATGTGGCCCCAGACTTACAGAAGACACTCTTCTCTCGATCAATCGAGAGGCCAGCCCTATACAACCTATCCAACTCTGTTTTAAGACTTTGTGCGTGATCTTCGAATTTGGACGATACTACTATGATATCGTCCAAACAGGCGAAAGAGAAACCGCCAAGCTCGGGTCCGATCACGCTGTCTATTAACCGTTGGAAGGTGGCGCCGGCGTACGAGGGATCGAACGATACTCTTACGAATCGGAGGTATCCTAGTCTGGGTACGGTGTAGGCAGTGAAATGTCGGCGTTCGGTCTTGAACGATTTTATCTCATTGACTCGAATCTCGAGTTCAGTGCCTATTGCTCGTCCCAGTCCCACGGGGGCCTGCGATAAGGCCTCGTCGATGGTCCTCTGCAATATAGCCTGTTGAGAGGCGGTTACCTCGGCTAGTCCGATAGTAGCTAATCTCGGACCAGCCTCCAAACTAGCTACTTCTAGTTTCATCTTGGTTTGTGATTTCTTGAGCAGTAATGTATCATCATCCGGATCCAGTACTGCTCTAAACAACCTAATAAAGTTCACTCCTAAGACACATTCATCGACGAGGGTTGGGAGGATAGCCACCCTCGTCGGCATCGTCATCTCCCCTACGGTGAATGGCAACGTGACATGGCCAACGATCGTCAACTTACGACCGTAGGGTAGCCTTGCCGCACCTGCGTGGGAGGTATCTAACCTGACGCCTAGCACGGACGCTATTTGCAAAGCAACATTACCCATGGCTGCGGTGGAAGCTCCCGGATCGTAGAGAGTTTGTAACTGGAAGGCTCCTATTTTCACCGGTAGCCACCAGCGCGTTTCTTGTTCCGGGGAAAATCGGGAAACGGTTTCGGCGGCTCCACAGCTCTGCTCCTTGCCCATCATAGCGCTAACCACCGTACTCTCGTGTGGTAAAGTGACGTTACTTCTCGTTCGAA